AAAAAAAAGAATATACACAAATGTTAACAAAACAGGACAGTATAATTATGGATCTCTATATATTTAATCATTCATTGTTGTTAGATGCCATCAAGCTGACTCCAATTCTCAACGATATTATAATTCAGTAGAAAGTTTTCTCTATCATACACATCATCCTCACAATTACTGCCATACTGAAGCCGACTTTTTTCAGTTACATGCCAGTCCACCTCATTGAGGATCTTCTTGTCTTTCACTAACCCTCTACTTTTTCATAATTTTTAACTTTACAAAGAATGGGACTTCCTGACAACATGCCCAAAGTACATGAGAAGTTTCACCAACCCTGTCTCTAAGGGGTTTCCTAGTTATACTACCAATTTACTTACCTGTACATGTTCCAACTTCTACAAGCAAATACTACTTAGCAGCCACTATATTTACTAAACTCTTTTACATGATATATACCTTTTTACAAAGTAATAAACATCTAAAATAATGAAGATTCATGGGTTAGTAAAATGTTTAGTGAAGATTATATATTGTTTTGATGAAATCTACTAATATCACAGTATTTTTAGTTCTGAGATAGCACTATAATAAAAAATAAAAATCAGAAAATTCTAATTTGACATGGTATAAAATACAAATGCCTATAAGTAAGGCATTTACAAAAAAAATATAAATCCACTAAAACGTTATGTCATAAACAACCACCCTAAAACAAATTCTCTTAAACACATTCAGATCCATTACACTTTGCCCTCTAAACTGGAATTAGGCAAAAACAATTAATTCCAAGGCAAAGGATGCTGCTAATTACCTTAAACTTCTTAGCTAAGTTTTCATATCTCCAGTAATTGATTGTTGTCATATAATTAGATATTATAAGACACTTTACAAAATTCAACACCCGTTCCTGCTTAAGACATTCACCAAAATTGGGATAGAAGGGAATTTCTTTCACATAGTAAAAAGTGTATATACAAAGCCAATAAGAACCAGTATCAGTCTCAACAGGGAAAGGCTAAACATTTTGCCCACTGTCACTACTTCTATTCAATACTGTATTAGAAGCACTTGCTAGGACAATATCAAAAGAGAAGGAAATTAAAAAGTCATGCAGATTAGCAAAGAAACAGTCAAATTGTCACTATATGCAGATGATGTAATAGTGTACACAGAAAACCCAAAGGGCTCAATAAAACTGTTAGACCTAGTGGACTAATTTAGTAGGGTGACAGGATACAAGATCAATATTCAAATGTCAATGGGATTCCTCTACAGTAACAAAAATAACTCAGAGAAGGAAACCAAGAATGCAATACATTTACAATAACCAACCACAAATTGAGATACTTGGGAATGAACCTCATTAGAGACATATTAAAAAGTATACACAAACACCTACAGAACTTTTCTACGAGAAACAATAAAACACCTAAATAAATGGAAAAATATTCCGTTTATAGATAGGAAGTCAATATAGTGAAAATGACAATCCTACAAAAAGTAATCTACATGTTCAATGCAATCCCAATACAGGTGACTTCATTTTATAAGAATGAAGAAATGAAAGTTGTTGAGTTTATCTGGAGAGGAAAGAGATCTATCTCCAATATGCAAAGCACCTCTGAAGAACAAAAATGAAGTGGGAGGCATAGCACTCCCTGACCTCAAAACCTACACAGTGGTAGTAACCAAAATATCATGGTTCTGGTACAATGACATGCACAGAGACCACTGGAACAGAAGTGAAAACCCCAAAATGGACCTCAATTTCTATGGTCAATTGATACTCGACAAGGAAATAAAAACCTATCAAGTGGGGAAATGAGAACCTCTTCAACAAATAGTGTGACAAAACTGGACATCTGCAGAAAGTTGAAACAGGATCCACATCTCACACCATACACAAAAATCAACTCAACATGGATAGGAGACCTGGGATGAGAGCCCAAACCATAAAGTTCATAAGAAACAAACTAGGACCATGCTTAGAAGGCTTGGTCTACAATACAAAGAGGCTAGCAAGTAAATACAGCCAGAAATGCACTATCTGGAGAGGATAACTGATGACTGGGACTTTCTAAAGATTAAATCCCCATGCTCATCCAAAATTTTTTCCAAGACAGTGAAGAGAAAAACCTACTGGGGGGGGGGGGACATCTGACAATACCATCTGAGACATGTCTCATAACAAAAGTTTGCAGAATGCTATTGGGCCTCCAGAAGAAAAAGACTGACAACCCAATTTCAAAATGGGCAAAAGACATGAAACGATAGGATGACCAACAGCTATATGAAGAAATGCTCAAAATCACTAGCAATAAGGGAGATGCAAAATAAGTAAACTAAAATTCATTTTTTTTTAAAAAGAAAGAAATGCAAATCAAAACCACAATGAAATATCATCTCATGCCAGTAACAGTGGCAAAGTTTACCAGGGCAAAAATCCCTGCTGAACAATAAATGTTGAAGAGGATGTGGAGAGGTGGGAACTCTTATACACTGTCAGTCGGATTGTAAAATGCTACAAACACTGTGGAAGGCAATTTGGTGTTTCCTCTAAAAGGTGAACCCAGAAACTCCATTATGACCTGGCTATTCTACTCCTAGAAATATACACTAAGGAAATTAGAAACTGAGACACACATGGATACTTGTACATCAATGTTCATAGCAGCATTATTCACCATCACAAGAACATAGAAACAGTCCAAATGTCCAATCACAACTGAATGCATTGAGAAACTATGGTACATTCACATGATGGAATACTATGCAATACTTAGGAACAATTTTTAAAAATACTGCACAATTAGGGAGAGACTGTAGAGCACTATGCTGAGTGAACTAACACAGTCTCATAAGGACAAAAAGCACATAGACCTTTACTGTAAAAATAGAAGGATAAATAGTAAAACATCTATGCAGAGCCAAGGGAATAAAGGGCAGAAGCACAGAGGTGAAGATAGTTGAAGAAGGAAACGGGAAAGATCTGGCTGGGACCTGTTTGAGAATGTTTGTATGAAACACAATATAAATGAAGAAGTGTGTGACATACAACAATATAAACTTTGTAAGCAAACAAGTTTTTTTAATAAAAGAACCAAAGCTGTTACCAAGAAGAACAAGACTGAGGAAGCCCTCCCACCTTAAATAATGAGTATTTCAGTAATAAAATCCCACTAGTGAAATTGTAAAATAAAATAATAAATTGTAAACGATTGTAAAATAAAATCATAAATCACTAAACACAGTGTAACACCAAATACACATTGCTGTTGTGCACCACAGAGTTGGAATCAACCCATAGCTGACCCTTTGGGGGGATTTTAAGAGGCAGTTAATCACACAGAAAGAGACTGCCCATCCTTCTCCCGTGGACCAGCTGGTAGCCTTGAACTGCATGCCTTTGGGACTGCAGCACAGCTTCTTGCCAGTAGGCCACCAGAGCTCCCAAGTACTTATTAGTAAGATAAGAAAACTCTGTGATTTCTTCTGTATCCTCAGTATCAGAACATGTGATAGGCTCCATTTGACACTGTTACTGTTAGAATATTTAAAGTGGTATCTACTACTGCTTAACACAAGGCATAGTCTTTATTGATACCTTTATCAATGTGCCTCAGTGCTCCAGACCCCTAATCCTGCACCACCAGGGCTCCTGTAAAGATCTTTAGTTAACAGGGAGTGGCGAGGAAAGGGTTATACTTTGATTCTCCTAAACCTGGAGAATCATAATGCAACCCAAAACCAAGAACCCACCAGAAACACCAAAAGAGAATCCAGGCAGCCAAAATGTGTTCATTGCTGAATAGTAGTACTATTTTAAATAATCAGGTGTTCTTCTTTGGCCTCAAGTTATTTCAGTATTCATCAATACTTTCATAATATGAATAGCTTATGAAAATGAGAAACTATATAGTTCAATTGCTTTGTAAATCTCTTTGAAAAGATTATTAAATTCTGATCTGAGGGTTTCATTTCATTATTTAGATTTCTATTTTCAATCTGTTATGATTTTTTGTGGCACGAACAAAAACGAAAGTATATTTTTCAGAATATAGCATTTGAATGAAAATTTAACAAAAGTAGTTTCTACACACACTACTAAAATTCACATACCTATCTCCTTCCAATTTTGGTATATCTGAACAACTAGAGGAGTCTTCCAGCCATGCCAAAGTTGGTCTCCTTGAATCAGCTCCTGAGTTTGGTTCTCCAGAAAGGAGAAGCTGTTGTACAATTACTGGATCATATGCATTAATTTCAAACTTTAAGTGCACCTATACAAATAGAAAGTACATGTTTATATCTATTTTTTTTCCCAACCATTAATCCAGTGTTTCAAAATTAAAATGTACCTTCATTAGCTTTGAAACATCCCATATGCAGATTTTTCCTCTTTTAGTTGCAGCAGCTAGAAAATGAGGACAACTCCCTGACCCAAAACAGGATATTCTGTCAGTCCCATCTGTACAAGGAAACTGTGCGGGACTTGTTGCAAGAGTCACTGACAATGGAACATTCTGTGTGTGCTCGCCTTTCACAAATGGACAGTTTGGGGAATGTCTCTCATGTTCAGACCTTTACAAATATTAAGAAAGAAAAGTTTATCAAACAACAATGTACACATGAAAATACCAACTTTTTTTTTCTTTTCAAAGCATTACTTAGTGTTTTTCTCTTAAAGAATGACATTCAGAATTATTTCTTCAAGACCATGTTAACATTTTTCTTCCCCTAACGCTTTCAAGCATTCATCTTCAAAGCTTTAACTGATTATAAATAAAGCCAGTATCAGATGAAATTTAGAAATATGTGTTAAAACTTAATTTACGGGGGAAAAAAACCAAAAACGGAAAAAAAACCTTAATTTACGGTATATTAACATACTGATAAACTTGATTAAGTTTCTTCACTAGTTTCCTTTAACTTTTCATTAATAATTATATTGTTTTACTTTCAAATTTCCCATATACATCACTGGGCACAAACCACATTTAAAAGAAATATAGTAAATGTCACCATTATCACAAAATAAAGTGATCTCTAAGTATGGACAAAATGACCTAGATTAAGACACAGAAACAAGGGACTCAACCAGACAAAAAACTTCTGAACAAAATTTCATTTTAAATTACCTTAGAAAGATAAAGTTCATAAACTGTATACTCTTACATTTTAGATTCATTTACTAGAAACCATTAATTTTTTTTTAAAAATTTTTTTTATTATTTTTTGTGTGTGTACTGTCAAATCAGATCTGACTGGTACAGGAGGAGATTGCCCCTCCTTCTCCAGCAGAGTATCTGGTGGATTTGAACCGCATACCTCTCGGACTGCAGTAGAAACCATTACTATTTTCAAGAAAAATAAAACACTAAGACCTCATATCAACACTGGTAAATGACTTTAAGAATTTCCTCAAATATTAAAGTAGGATCAATTTTAATATCTAAAAATTATGTGTCAAATTATGTGACTCCTTTATTACTTTCTAGTTATTATTTTTTTACTTTGTTTAGATTTAATTACAGTGCATTATATGAAATGTCAGATCTTTGTTAGCAAAAAAAGAAACTTTTTATACTCAATTTTCTATTTCAATAGCAAAAATAAGGAAAGAAAATTATACTGACAAAAAACTTGTTTTGTTACTTCTAAGGAAGTACATATTTCTAGCACACCACAATCCTCAACTTAAAAAAAAAAAAGAAGAATCGCTGTTGTTAAAAAGATTTCAATCTTCTAAGTATAGCAAAGAGATGTGATACGGAGTTTTAAAGGCTGTGACACTTCAGAAGAGCTAGGCCTTTCTTCTGTGCTGCCTTTGGGTGGATTTTAATCCATCATTTTTCAGTTAGAAGTTGAGCACTTAAGTGGGACTTCTCAACATCCATTCTAGACCATTTGTAGTATGTAGTTACCTATGAATTCCTTTACATAATATCATACAACATATGGAGAATCCCTCTCAGCTATCTCTTAGTGTTGTCTCATTTTCATTTTCATGAGCTTTAACTTTTAAATAAAAAATTTATTTCCAATACTTGTATGTAACGATTATAAAAAAATTTATTTCCAATAATTGACTATTGTAAAAAAAAAATTTATTTACCATAGTTACATGTTACATTACTATAAAGGTTCTTTTATTCACAATAGTTGCATGTGATTATAAAGACATTTCAACTATACACTCAACCTCAAAACCTACTACCCCACATTCAGGTAAAACTGTAAGTTTTAAAATAGTTTTTATGTTATATACATGTTTACACACAAAGAAAATAAAAGGATTTTATTTTAAACCAACAGTATCATTGTATATATGTTTCTACAAGTACTTTCTTAATGCAATAAATACCTAATACCATTAATATAATAGTATTAAAAGAAATGTAAGCAAGGATGGCAGTTTAAAGACTTTTAAGTTGTAGCTAATCCAAGCCAAAGTATTTTCAAGTACTTCCTACACATTTGAAGGCTGATCAATGAACAAGGAGGACCTAAGAAGAAACGATCCCTCTGAACTGTGGTACTATTTAATAGTACTGAATACACCAAAGACTGTCAAAAGGACAAATATGTCTTAGAAGAAGTGCAGCAAGGGTGTTCCTTAAAAGCAAATCTGGTGAGAATTCATCTCACATACTCCAGGCATACCAGCAAGGCATACCTTGGGGGGAAAAGACATAATGCTTAGAAAAACAGAAGGTCAACTGAAAAGACGAAGACCCTCACTGAGACAGATAGGCATAAAGATCAGGAAAAAAGACTTGGACTTAAGTGCAACAGAGCTTGTGAGGATGATGTTTTGATCTGTTATACATAGAGTCACTATCAGGTAGAGCCAACTAACAGGAACTAACAACAGTAACTATTAATATATTAAATGAATCCTCCATATTTTTATTGAGATATGACCCTCAAAAAAAGCATTTACAATGCATCCAGATTTTAATACAGTTATCATACTCCCAAAAGCCACATATCTCGCATCTCTAGCAGTTCAAATATACTGACAGGAATGAGGAAGAAAGATGGCCATTTCTTTGCATTGTGATTTATATACCTCAGAAATCCCAAAGAAAGGTGTTAGTGAGTCACAATCAACTCAATGACAGTGAGTATACATTTTGATCAACATTTGCATGCCTCCTTATGAAGAAGGTAATTCACTCTTTTAAGCAGAAAAGTACAAGTGGAACTGATAAGTAATAGAATGTAATTTCTCCCCCTAATATATCACTCCAAGTTAACTCTCCCCCACTTGAACCACCACTTTAAGAGAGTTTCATTTCTTCCATTAAAGAGTTTAGGAAAAAATAAAAATTACGTATATTGTGCTTATGGGATAAAATTTTATATAAATATTTGTTATTATTAATACCATTTCTATTAATAGGGTCACACAGTACTTATTTATAAAAATGAGGTTTCAACATACCATCTTAAATGGTTAACCAAGTTCTAAAATTCACCAAGGGCACTGCCAGTGAAGGGACACTGACTCATGGTGACCCTCCACTAGACTGCTATGGCTAAAAATCTTAAGCGTAGGCAGCAGTCATCTTACTCCCACGGAACATCTAGAAGATTCAAACTGTCAGCTTTTCAGTTAGTAGGCCAACATTTAACGTAGTACATCATGAAAGTGTCGCAAAATTTTACTACAGAATCCTAAAATTACCACAGTAAATTAAAAAACATTACCAAATAAAAAACCAAACCCACTGACAAAGAATTGATTCTGACCCACAATGATCCTACAGACAGAGAAGTGCCTCATAGTGTTTCCAACACTGTAAGACTCTACAGGAGCAAACTGCCTCAGTTTTTTCTACTATAGAATCCTAAAATTACTTCAAGACTAGAAACAGAAGTTAACAGGCTCTTTTCCAGGGACTCTCCTTTAATACCTTACCCTTTAAGCATAAGCTAAGCTGCTGGAAGAAGTCATACTCGAGTTCATTTTACCACCGTCTCTGCTTTTCAGTTACTCTGGTTATACTCTTAGGCACTTCTTTTTCTGTACAGACTTTACAAAGCCATGGCCTTTACAGACTCAGGTATACCACCAAGTGATGTGACAGTACAGTCAGCAATGCCACCTCCTTTTTGGGCAAAGACAGAAACACAGGTGCCAAAACAGTAGTATTCTCATTGCAGTTCTGCAATGCTTAAAAGCAGGGCAAATATGTCTGTGGGCCAGGACACTCAGGTGTCTAACTGCAGGATGCCATGCAATCATCTAGGAGCCCGTCCAACTTCTGCCTGGCTGCTGCATGTAGTTCAGAAGCCATCTAGTCCAGAAGCCTAGACTCAAAAGTTGCAGCCACAGTTCCCTGAGGCTCCTGTAACTTGTGGTTCTACTCTTTACATTTTGCCTGGCGTAATGGTGTACTAAGAAAAGAAATGGAAAGAAATGCCCTCGGTGTCCCAGCCCTGGCTCACGTCCTCGCAGATCCCTTAGACTATTTCATCCCTTTCCCAAGCAGGTTCTCAGAGACAAGCTGGTCTTACCTGCAGCTGGCCAGAGAAGGCAGCAACAGTCAGCCGGGATTCAGCTGAGCGCTGACCTAAGGCTACTAATGCTACACTGCAGAGCAACCCCTTAGCCAGCGTACTAGGAATCTCACGACCCACAGACACAAGCATTTGCACAAGGTTCATATCACCTAACACTTTATTTCCAAAAAGTTATGGACATTAACCAATGCATACCTGTGTTATCTAGATCAAACAAATAAAATTTGTATTTACAGGACCAACTTAGCCTCATATATCCAGAAAAAAACAAAACTCACCAAGGTTCATCAGTAGGTTCCCAACAAACAAGACATACACTACACGTAAAACACATGGCTCTATCATCTCCTGATGATGCTGGCTGCAAAATTACAAAAAAAAAGAAACAAAAATCAATAAATCAATACTAATAGTATTAATAGATTTAAAATAAAACTCTATAAAGTACTCATAATTTTAGGTCAATTGCAAGATTGAGGGGAAAGCATACGCCTGTATGGTTCCAACAAGACAATAAAACCATAATTTGTATATGAATTGGCTTCTTTTTATCTAAAAAAAAACATTTAATCATGCATAATGACTAAATTTTTAAAGAATGTCTTTAGTTAATAAATACTCATTAAGGAACTAAAATTGTCAGGGAAAATGGTACAAATTGGATTCTTAATCTGAAAAACAATTTCAGTGAATCTAATACTAGCCATTCTCCATACTCTACTCTCTTTAACAAGAAATCTGACAAACTCCAAATTAAATACTCAAATAAATACATGTGATATAAATTAAGATACTGTGAACACTCAAAAATATTTAATAAGCAATCACTCTTCAGAGGTTTTTAGGACAGTAATTTCACTGAAAATTTACTGGAATTCTCAAGTTAGAGGAACTTGCTTTATTTAAGTGGATAGAAGTGGCTGTTGTTTCATTTTGAATGACAGCAACCCTTGATCACAAAGAACCATCCAAAAGCATTTCCAAAACTAAAATCATTATAGGAAGGAACTCTGACAGTGTAGTGGATTTCATACAGTGCTGCTAAGCAAAAGGCAGCAGCGTGAATCCATCAGCAGTTTCTTGGAAGAAAAAGATGGGTAGTTTGCCCATGTAGACATTCATTTCCAGCCTTAGAAACCCAGTAAGTCCACTACGCCTCGGGATAAATTTGACAACAGTGAGTAATCTTTACAGGAGCAAATGAACAAGTCTTTTTCTCTTGCACAGCAGCTGGTAGGTTCAAACCTCTAGGTCGCCAGCTGAGCAGTTAAGCAGTTACCAATGCTCCTCGACTGGCATGCAAGTATTAGATTTCTTCATTTCTTTAACAGGAAGGTAAAAGAGAGGTAAGTCAATCTGTATTATGTAGCTGAAGTTTCCTAGTAATTACTGTAATAAGCCTATGTCTAACCTCAGCTTTCTCCACTTCCCTCCACAACTCAGTAAAGATTTCCCTAAGATACCACTCTCTGGTCTAGTCTTCCTGTCATGCAAGTTCTTACATTTTACATTTTCCTCTTTTCCTACATAAAATTTAAGACTTCTTTTACTTGGCTAGTTCTTCCCTTTTACATGCAATTTCTTAATTAATTTCTTAATTAATTTCTAAATACATGTATATTCAGATTACCCTTTCTCACCTGAATACTGCTTTTCTAGATATCTATATTGTTGGTACCAGCAGCCAGGAAATTAAAAGACTAATTGCATTGGGAATGTCTGCTGTCAAAAACCTCTTTCCAAAGTACTGAAGAGAAACAATGTCAATCTGGAGACTAAAGTGCAGTGGATATAGGCCATGATCGGATCATGCTACTTGCTACGGATCAGAAAGGTGGACCACGACTAGGGATGACTTTGAGCTGTCGTGCTGGAGAAGAGTACTGATTATACTGCTAGGTGAACCAACAAGTTCGTCCTGGAGCGAGTGAAGCCAGGCTGCTCCTTGGAGGCAAGGATTCATCTGACATACTCTTAGAGAGGGACATCATGCTTCTGAGGGTGGAGGGACAGTGCAGGAGAGGAAGACCCTTGATGAGGTGGGCTGAGTTTCTGGGGTAATGGGGAGAGATGTTTTGGAGACAATAAGATTGGCACAGGATAGAGCAGGATTTAGGGCCGTGGTGCACAGGGTCACTATGAGTCACAGGCAACTCGATGGCACATAACAACAACATATTGTTAAGTGATGTCAAGTCATTTTCAAATAATCACCATAACATAGGACAGAGTAAAACTATTGCACAAGGTTTTCTTGGCTATACTTTTTACAAAACCATCTTCTTTCTCCCATGAAGCTATTAGTTGAACTACTAATCTTTCGGACAGGCAAACACTTAACTATTGGTGCCACCTGGGCTCCTTATCTAATATGAAATAATCTTATATTCCAACTAAAATTAACATTTCAAGACCAATTGCTACTGTTATGTGTTAATTTTATTTGCATTACCTAAATATTTATTAAAAAACTGAAAATAAATTATATCCAGAGGATACTTTTCAAAAGCACACTGATGAATTCCGCCTATTTCATGAAATAGGTAAAAAAATGTTAAAAACAAACACATCTTCTCAAAGAAAATATCTAGTGGTAAGTATTAAATGACTTAGTTGTTAACTACTTACAAACAGGTGGGGTTTTTTTTCTTTTACTACATAAGAAATTGCTAGTCAGTATTATAAGGGCTAAGAACAAAGCCAAACAAAACACAATGTGGTGCACACACACACAGAGGCAAATTCCAAGAGATAATGTAAGTTATTTTTCAAAATATTAAAATGTTGATCTTACACCTATAAAACCATACGAAAATTTTTTACAAATCTATTTTTACCTGATGATAAAATCCAGCTTGAGCCATGGGATCTGGTTGTGCCCACCTATAGCCTACATGAGGCCATGAGGTAAAGGTTTCCCGTCTGTTAGCTTCACTATACATCAATGATCTAAAAGTAAACATAGTTTATATAACCTAAGTGTAGTGAAATTTTAATCTAATACTTAAGAAAATTAGCTAGTTATTAACAAAAATTGAAGTCTACTAGCCAAGCTCAAAATTAATATTTTTGTTTACTTTCAAGTAAAAAAATAATCATATTTCACTTTTCAAAGAGAAAAGCGAACTGAAGGGGGAAGGGTGGGCAGGGAGGAAACTGTGAAACAATGAATGAATGGAAATTTTTTTAAAAAGTAATTATATTCAGGAATTTTCCTTAAACAGGCTAAGGAAAAAGAAAATGTGATTGATAACTACAATGGATGAGCAACTCCAAGAGTATATTAAATTAACCAGCATTGCACAATCACCAGGCAGAGAACTGAAAATCTGGATATGTAAAAGCTAAAGGCTGTATGCTTTTTTATCTCGTGCCAACATTTGCATAATATGACAAAACCACAACCAAATGAATCTTTTAATCATATTGTGAAAGTATTTTCTAGTTTTAAAAAGAAAAGTTGGAAATAAGAGCTTTTTGTTAACTGGAGAAATCTTTTGTCCAGGACTTTGCTTTCTCCAAGTTACTACCCAAAAATGAAATATTCATATATGTTTTTATATGAAAAAACTGACTCTTGAATAGAGTACTAGCATAATCATTAAGGACCATATGAAAAGCTTAAAAGGCTTCAAGTAAGAAAGAACTGCTAAGCAAACTGGTAAATTTCTTCACATAAAACAAGAACATAAAAAGTCTAAGAAAAATTTAAATCATTTTCTTAAATTATTAGAAAATTTCTATCAAGTTCAATAATATTGAGTATTTTCAAACTGTATCTCAAAGACCGGAATATTTCCTTAGGAGAAAAATTAATTGCTATGCTTATAATTTTAATCAGTTTCCAGCAAGTCAATCCAACTCACAGTAACCTCACGTTTCAGGGTGCATCTGTGCTTCTCAGGGTTGTCCATGCCTGGTTTTTGGAAGCAGACTGTCAGGCCTTTCTGAACCATCTGGTTAGCAGCTGAGCACAATGTTCACACCACCCTGAGACTTCTCTAAAAATTATAGGCTAATCCAAATATTTACCAAGTAAGCAGTAAATAGGAATTTTCAAAACGGGGTTTTATGATCTCTTTAACTATATTACTAATAATTTAATAATGGGCATTGTATTTGCTCAATAATTTGATATGAGAATCTCAATAGTTTCCAAAAGTATTTTAGTAATTTTTTTAATCATAGTAAAATTTAACAATTATTCTTGGCAACTCAAGTTCTCACTGTCATCTCTTTTTAAAGTAAAGTACATACCTGTCTACAGAACGGCCTGGACCCACTCCAAGTTCTGGACGTGCACTAGGTAAGAGGTAAGACAATCTGTCCATCACTGAGGATGCCACAGGTAAGGCAGCAACATTTTGATTGATTTTCTTGAGTTCATTTACAATGGCACTGGCAATGGACTTCAACACATGATGGGGAAGATGAAATGTAACTGTGGCCCACTGAAAGAAAATGGTGGTATAAGCACCAGAAAACTTGACAGTTATAACAAAAGCTTAATTTAAGTATTATCAAATAAAGGACTAGTTAGTTATCAACTTCTCAAAACTGTTTGCTCCATTAGTTCGTCTTTAAAGAACTCGTGGTTATGTAAAAAGGGAAAATGAAATAATCTACCTTGAGAAAGGATTCTTTATATCCTATCCATTTTTAAGGAAATGAAAAGCATGTCATGTTTCACATTCCTCCAGCAAATACACAATGTTAATACAAAAACTAACTAGTCAAATATCTCAAGTCATAAGACTATATTTGTATAATTAATCATTACTGAGATATATGAAGATTTAACTACTTAATGGATGCTTATGTTATTGTCTCATCATAATCCAAAACAGTAACTAAAACACAGGCATTGTAGGCACACAGACCTGGATTCCAAACCCAGCTTCACCACCATCTATGTGACCTTGATCAAATTAATCTCAGTTTCATTATTCTGTAACATGAGGAAAACAAAGTTTCTATTCAGAGTATTCCTATGAGAATTCAAGTGCAGTGTTTAATAATATTAAAATTTGTAATCGTAACTTTTTCATGATAATAATCATGGCAATGGGCTGTAAGAATGCTAAATATTATTCTCCAGAGAAATAAATCTATAATTTACTCTTCATATCCTGACCCCCTGTGAACAGTATTCCACCATCAGAAACTGACATACTTCCCCCAAAGAATACATGTATGCAAGGATACAACGAGGAAGCTATGTAATGATTTCCCATAAACTGATAAAGCAATTAACTGTAAAAGGATAAAAGATGCAATATAATACTCCTTAATATGATAGGGAGCTCTGATGGCACAGCCTAAAGAAAGCTGTGCTGCTAACAAAAGCTATGCATCTCAGGCAGTTCAAGCCTATTAGAGGTTCCTAATGAAAAAGATGAAGTACATTCATATCCATCTACTTCACAGATAGACCCACTCTCACTTTCCCAGAGTGTTTCTTTATCTTAATAAACTTTCTGCTGTAAACTTTCTTCTGCATCAATAAACTATGTCTTTATTTAAAAAAAGAAAGAGAGAAAGAAAAAGATGTGCAGTTCTTGCTACCTGTTGCAATTTACAGCCTCAGAAGTAACCCTCTGCAGGGACTAATCCCATCACAAACCTCAATTGATTTAGAAGAGTTTCCCTAGGTTGTGGTCTATAACACCTCTCACAACATAAAAAAGGGAGGAAAGTGAGCCAGAGAAGGTTGGGGGAAGTCTCAGTACAACCAAAATTAACTATTAGGATTACAGTAAATCCTTTAGACACCCAGGAAGGAGGCACCTCTGAGAGGGTATTTCCCTTTAAGATAACTCTAGTGGTCTCTCAAAGTGCACAGGAAGTCATGCTGCCATTCCAAAGGCAGAGGGGAAAGGATGGGCAATCTCAACTAATGTACAGAGTCAGCTATGGGTCGGTTCTGACTCTACAGTACACAAGATAACTTGATAAATTATTCTTAGTTATATAAGGAGGGAGGACTCAACGTATGTGGTCAGAAACATGACCTGAGGAGGGGAGAAAAAAAGATCCAAAACTTTCTCACCTAGTTTCTAGATCTAACCTGTTCATAGAGCCAGAGACATTAGGTTGAAAGGGAGGCTAAATCCCCTTAAGAAAGGTCTCTAAACAATGTCTAAATGATAAACTGTACTATATATTATAAATCATATACAAGCCCTTCCCAAGGTACTTGTAGAGTTTTATTACTGTAGCCAAGAACTTAAGAAATGCAACTATTTAGCACAAAGTTGTCTGACAGAGGGTTCTGTGGATCCATGGACCTGTCCTATAGTACTTTCCCACTTCCTGAATGTTCATGTGGAAAAGATGTAGTAAAAGCAAGTAAAATCCTCACGCTGGCTCTTTTATTCTCTTTGAGGATCATCAAGGTAAAATAGGTCAAGCAGAAGCCCCAGAAGTTTCCTATCCTGTCAGCATATCAAACAATAACATATTCTGTGTCAATATCTAAAGTGAAAGATACTTTATGAGCCTTAACAGACAGGATGACCAAATTATCTTATCTTCAAACAAGTGGCTTACTTACCAATGCAGATGATAAACGGATGTTGGATAGTAACTGAAGAGAGGTTTATTATAAATTGTCAAGTGGTGGCTCTAAGTGCAGCTTCTGTTCCAGATATGATGTCTTTACTGAAGCAAAACAACAAATCTCCTGCTATCTCAAATGTACTTAAACCTCTATCAAATACTTTTTTCTCTGATTTTTCAAGGATTACCCCAAGTAGTCTGCTTTTACCTGGAAGAATAACAATAATCTTCATGGTCTCCACCTAATGCTCTTAACCTAACCTAGTCTCCAGTGATCATATTCATCCTGCAGACTGCCTGCTGGTCTACCACGTAGTCAGCATCATACTAACTGATACAGATGAGAAAGCACTAACATGAGCAAGTAAGAAGGATCAACAATCCCTCCATAAACTCATAATCCTGCGATCTCTGGTAAAGAATTCTGACCAGCTGAGGACAAAGAAAATATAGAATAAGCAGTGGAAGAAGAAAGGAGAACTATAGCATCCCTTCTTATTTCAAAAAATCATATACAGATTGCTAAAGATACAGATCACAATAGACATAAAAAGTCATACAGACCAGTGAGACCAGATGAACTAGATGGTGTCCCTACCACTGTCAACAGCTCTGATAGGTTTTAAAACAGCAAGTCCTGGAGAGAACATAAATATAATTACAGCCGGTTTTACTGACCTGACACAGAAAGAGAATCCTCAAGACAAGAGACTTTATTCATCTACCCTTTGAGGCTGGAACTAAATTCATTCCTGTGGCACAATTTTGGCCAAATAATAAGTATATCTTTAAAGTGAACATTTACACCAAAGAGACAGCCAGCATTAAGGGAGTTCTGGTGGCATAGTCTGTTGGGAGCTGTGTGCCAACCCAAAGGACACACATCTCTGGCAGTTTGAATCTAAGGGAGAAAGATGAACAATCACTTTTTATGCAATTTAACCTCAAAACATCGGCTGGAACGTCAGCTAAGATTCCATTCTGACTTGACAACAAGGACTAAGTGAGTGATAGTAACACCAGGGAGATATTTAGCATTTAGAACATGCAATGGGACATTTAAAACAGCCTGGGACCAGGATAAAACTCAAGAAGGATGGAGAGGTGAAGCAAGAACCTTCATTACAGGGTGTGATAAGACAGAGACATCAGTGTGATAAGGAGAAAGAGGTGCTCCTTTCCAGTAAAAAATCTTCATTCTGGTGGCAGCAGATCTAGGCTTCAGATCTTCATTCTTCTTGTATTGTCGGGACCAATCTTACAGGTCTTTCTTCATAGTACTCGCACCTGTCAAACAACTAGTACTCCTTCAGAGATTTCAATCTCAGCTCCCACAAGCTCATCCCTGAGCTCCTGAAGTACTAACTGGACAGCATCCCACCCCCCATCCACTCCTCTACTCTACCTACTCACCCAACAAATACCTGCAGAAGTTTGTGTTCCATCTCCATAGGGCTCAACCTCTACACTTGTAGGTCTTGATAACCCCCACCTCTTCTCTTTAATCTTTTAGACACAGATTATAGATGCAGTTCCTAGCTCTTTTTATTACTACAGTCCCTACCAAATAAATAAATGAGGTAATGCCATCAAGTTGATTCCAAGCCATGGTGACCTTATCAGGTTTCCCAGAGAGTAAAATTTTACAGGAGAAGAATGTCTCCTCTTTCTACCGTACAGTGGCTGCTGGATTCAAAGTGACTTTTCAGTTAGTCATATTTCAGGTAATGTACTATGCCACCAGGACTGCTTACACATTCCCTAAATCAATACTGGTTACAGAAAATACTTTTGTTGAAATTTATAATAAAGCTTTCATTTTCCTAATGAAGAGTACCAAGCAATAAAATTAATAAATTTATAAGGTATAATTAAATACATGTATTAAGAAGAATATGAGTCTTCTACAAGATTTATAAATCTGCTGGCAGGGACCTCTCCAGAGTAGTGAGGAGCAACAATGTCAGTCAGTCTAGAGACTACTGTGCACTTGATCCAAGCCATCGTCTTCACAATCACTTGCTATGCATCAGAGAGCTGGACAATGATTAAGGATAAAAGAAGAAGAGCTGATGCCTTTGAGTTGTGGCCTGAAGAAAAGTACTGCATATATGTGGTCTGCTAGAAGAATAAACAGGTTCGTTTAGAAGAGAGTGAAACCAGGCTGCTCCTTGGAGGCAAGGATTCTGAAGCTGTCTGACATACTTTGGGCATGTTGCAAGAAGGGACCCAGTATAGCACAAGAGAGGAAGACCCTGGATGAAATAGATTGACTCAGTAATGGGGTAATGGGGATAGGTGTGTCAGAGACAGTGAGGTTGGCTCAAGACAGAGTAGGATTGAGAGCTTTTGTATATAGGGTCTCTATGAGTTACAAGTGAACTCTATGGCACTTACAAATATTTTATATCATATATTATGAATATGATATACACACACACACACATACAGCTGTTGTGTACTGTAGTCAAAACCAACCCATCATTGACCCTCCAACAGGTGTTCAGAGACTGTTAATCACACAGGGACCTCTCCAGAGTGCTAAAAAGCAAAGATGTCCTCTGCTGGAGAAGGAGGGGCAATATCCTCCTGTACCAGTCAGATCCGATTTGACAGTACACACACACACACACAAAATAATAAAATTTTAAAAAACAACACAAAGATGTCATCAAAAGACCCTGGATGAGATGAACTGATATGGCAATGGGGGTTGGAATTAGTAAGACTGGCTCAGAACAAGGCAAGGTTCGGAGCTGCTGTAAATAGGATTACTAAGAGTCACAGGTGACTTGATGGCACATAACAACAATAATGGGCAATGTACTGAATGATCTGGAAAGGACCAAAAGAAGATGGAGGGAAATACAGAGTCACTATAGCAGACAGAACTGAACTGACACTGAAAAAGTTCAGGAAGAACTACATAAACAGGAATCAATGGTAACAAAGGAGGAAGTGGAAGTTCCATTGATGGTACTGGCAAAAAATAAGGCCCTAGGAATCAATGGGATACCAAATGACTTGTTTCAATTAACTGATGCAGCCTTGGATATGCTCACCAATCTGTGCCAGGAAATTTGGAAGAGAGGTGCCTGGCCAACTGACAGGGAGAAGTCCATATCTATTCCCATTCCCAAGAAAGGAGATCCAATTGAATGTGGAAACTATCAAACAAAATCATTAATATCACATGCAAGCAAAAGACTGCTGAAGATTATTCAGAAATGGATGAACAGTACATAGATAGAGAAATGCCAGAAGTTCAAGCAGGATTTAGAAGATACTGTGGTACCAGGGATATCTTTGCTGATGTCAGAAGGATACTGGCTGAAAGTAAGGAATACCAGAAGAATGTCTATTTGTGGTTTACTGACTATGCAAAGGCATTTGGCTGGGTGGATCATAACAAGTTTTGGCTAACACTGAGAAGCATGGGAATTCCAGAGCACTTGATTGTGCTCACGTGGAACCTATACCTAGACCAGGTGACTGTTGTGTGAAAAGAGCAAGGGAACACTGCATGGTTTTAAATTGAGAAGGGAGTGTATCACGGTTGTATTCTCTCTCCATACCTATTCCATCTGAATGCTAGGCAAATTACCCAAGAAGCTGTACTCTATGAAGAGGAATGTAGCATCAGTATTGGAAGGAATCTTATCAATAACCTGCCTTATGCAGAAGACACAACATTTCTACAACTAGTCATGCACAAATAATGATGATTTCAAAGAAAAGTAAATAATTTTTAATAACACATTCCATTTTTCATCCAAGCTCAAAAGCCAACAGAGAAAACTCCTTCATTAGCCTCTCAACCAAAGTTGAGCAATAAAACACTAACGAAGGTTCTCAGAAGCCTTGCTATTGTTGCTGTCAAATCAATTACAGCTTATGGTGACTCTATGCATGTAGAGTAGAAATGATGTTTAAGACTTTTCAAGGTTACAACTTTTCAAAAGTAGATCACCAGGCCTATCTTCTGAGGCACTTCTAGGCATGTCTGAACTGATAATCCTTCAGGTAGTAGCAAAGCGCTTGACCTTTTGTGCATCCCAGGGAATCCTACAGAAGCCTCAGGAGTACATCAAGAAAAATTAATTTCCACATTTAAACTTTAGTGAAGATCTTTCAACTTTGAGATAATTTAAAAGCAAAACATCTCTGTATTTGGGGTTTGTTCTGTTTTCATCTCTGTGTTTTTAAAAGAAAAAAAACTCTAAAATAAAAAGTTTTCAGGAAGAGTTGAAAGAATAGAACAAGAAAGGTAAAAGGATGAAGGTATTCTATTATAATGCCAAAACAAGATGATTTTTAAAACATTTACCTTAGCAACTTTGTGGTTTGCTGCGGTCTCATGAGATGTATTTTTTAAACCATCTTTCAGCTGTGTGATGAACAAATCATAACCTTCTGTACTAGAAATATCTACCTTTTCTAAACATGCAGATAAAAGCTGCTGTGCCTACAAAAGAAAAAGAGTACCAAAACGTAAATATACCAAATAAAGCTGAAATTCAGACATTTTTATTTGTAATGAATCTGACAAGTATTATGGTAAAACTTAGCTACTTTGGGAAAAAAGCTGATTAATCAGTAACAATTTAAAATATTTTTATAGAGATAAATGAGATAAGGCATACATGTATCACTGTTGTTGTTGCTGTTGACTGCCATCAAGTAGACCAGGACTCACAGCGACCCTATGAACAAAAGACCTGACGTCTTTCTATAACTATAGTCATTTCTCAAAGTTCACAGAGTTTCCAGAGGCATGTTGTAGCATATAATCAAGTTTTAATACACAAAAGCTATTATAAATCAAATCAAGAAAAAAAAATAATGAACAACTATAGGCAAAATGAAAAAAGGTAAAATTCTAATAAATGTAAAGCTGTAAGTTACAAGAGCTAAAAAATAATGCAAGGTGGACTCACTAAGTCAACAGGTAAAAAAAATTTTTAAGTCCTTTGTAATGTTAACTACACATTAAATATGAGCCACCTTAACAGAAACATATTGTTAGTAAAAGAAAAAATTAATAAAAACTGATCAAACTAAGTTTAGATCTCATACTTTTAAAATATCTCAAGGATGGAAATATAATATTTAGAATTGTGATTATTTAGATGCAAAGATAGAATATCAGCAAGGCAGAGAAAAATAGGGGGAAAGACACAGAATACTCAACCAGAATTTCAGTCAGTATGGTGGAAATATACTAATTTGAGAGTTTTGCCGAAATAAATGTCCAACATATAGTTGTAATTTGTAGTTCTTTTACAACTTGCCCATCACTTGTTATTTTTTAATATAGAAGATAGCCATAATTAAGATATCACTTGATCTATCCTTCTTCAAGTAAGTGAGGAAAAACGTTTAATACAGCAGAAAGGATTTATTCTCTAGCCAAACATTCCAGACATGCACCCAAATATGCTGTTATGTGCCTTTAGGTCGTCTTCACATTCACTTAAAAATGTCTACTCTGCTTTTGAATAATAAATTTTCAACAACAGGTTTTCAATATAAATATATAACAAAATAAGTCAGACCAAGGAATTGGTATCTTTGAATTAGGTTATTACAAGAGTGCTAAATGTTCCATAGAACAAACAAATCAGGTTTTTTTAAAAAGTGCAGCTAGAAGTATACTGATGGTGAGACTTCATCTCATGGAGTTTTGGCATGTTGTCAAGACAGGTCAGTCATATAGAAAGGACATCAAAAAAGCAGAGAGCCTGTGAAGACTTTCAATGAGACAGACTGACACAGTTACAGCAACAATGGACTTGAGCACTGCAAGAGAGTGTGAATATGGCACAGAACTGAGCAGGGTTCCTGCGTTGTACAAAGTCATAATTTGTAGGTGACTGCAAACTGGAAGTGACATGATGACACCTATATTAATTGTGCTATCATATTGAATGTAAAACCTAAATAGATAAAGATTGCTATCTTAATAAAAATGTACAAAGAGAAAAAATACTTCAATGTATTGCATTTAGAGTTTATATACTAACAATTTTTTACCCTGGAAATAAGAAACTGCAATACTGATTTTATCAACTAACAACTAAGTATAACAAACCTCGACCTAGCAACAGTGTAATGAAAAGTTAACAATAAAGCAAAATATGTATAACATATTAAAACTGGGTTTTGTTGTTTTTGTTAAACAGGGATTCTTTCAAAAGAGCCATTACATTACAACAAGAAAAAGGTTTATGCTGTAAAGACTACTGGTTATCCACTGATATTCCTCTCTTTTTTTCAGCTCAAAGAAAAAAGAATAGATCTTGGTCTCCCCTCTCTAGTCAATAGGGTAAATGTGAGAGAAACAGCTGGTAAAAGAAACAAGAACAATAAACAGCTAGGGGAGAGAAAAAGAGCAAATGAGTAAATGCCTATATATTCATGGGAAGAGGGGAGATCCATGGTAACACAGCTGTCCCCTTACTTAGCCCTGGACTGTTCCTAGAAAAAATTAAAAGTATCTACTTACGCCACTGTACTTAGAGGTCTTTGTTCTAGCTATTTAACTCATACTGATAAAAAAATCCTGAAATCTAAAAATATCAATTCAACAAGCAGCAATTAATAATTTAGGAAAGACAAATATTTAATCAAAATTTGTGGTTATTAAGTCAATTGTTTATTGTCAGAGGGGTACGTATACAACGTCTACAAAGAATAATTTAATTTCATTTAACAGCTAATAAAGGTTTGCGATAACATTAAGTAGAAGAGCATTATTATTTACTTCAACTTACCTCTGTAACAGGTAGTTCAAGCTGAACCACGTCATCCTGCTTTGATACTGGAGTTTGCAGAGCAGTGTCTAACAATAAGATTCCATTAAGATCCTTTCTACATCCTACTGCATAATCATCCACAAATATAACTTTATCCACAGCAGAAATATATTGACATTTCACCTGTCCACCTGGTTTTGCTGTCAAAATAAACAAAAAAATTTAGAACTCAAGAATATTTTATGACCAAAGCTAAAAATAAACTGTTTGCATGGCAAATAAACAAATATATAATCCTCAACTGGATGGCAGATTGTTAAAAAAAAAATTCTTATCAAAGACATTACTGAGTTGACTAATCAAATAGGACTATGTACTATATGAAGTGTTTTATCAATATGTAATAATCATAACTTATAACTATACTGCCATCCTTAAGACAATAAGCACACAAAGGAATCCAAAAAGTGGAATGCCACTGGTGACCTATTAGCAAGTAGAATAAAAGTATGTATGTAAGTAGGTAGGTAGATACAGGAGAATGATAACCAGATGTACTTAAAATGTCTTAAAATGATAGGTATGCACCACAACAAGATAAAGGGAAACAACCCAACTGAAAAATGGGCACAGAACATGAACAGACACTTCACCAAAGAAGACATTCAGATGGCAAACAAATACATGAAGAAATGTTAACAATCCCTAGCTCTCAAAGAAATGCAAATCAAAACAACTATGAGATAATCATCTCAACTAAGTAAAAATAGCAAATTTAACAGAACAGTAAACAACAAATGCTGGTGAGGTTGTGGAGAAACTGGAATCCTTATTCACTGTTGGTGGGAGTGTAAAATGGTCCCACCACTAGGGAAGGCAGTATAGCGCTTCTCAAAAAGTTGCAAATAGAAATACCCAGCAATCCCACTACTGGGAAAATACCCCAAAGAAACCATAACCGCCACCCCAGCAGGTATATGCACACCCATGTTTATCACAGCTTTGTTCATAATAGCAAGGAGTTAGAAACAACCTAAGTGCCCATTAACAAATGAATGGATAGAGCAGCTGTGGTATATTCACACAATGGAATACTATGCTGCATTGAAAAACAAGGAACTCAGGCAATATTATTCAAAATAGGTGACCCTGGAGGACATTCTGTTGAGTGAAATATCTCAGTCACAAAAGGACAAATACTGCATAGTGCCACTGTTAAACAGGACTGGCATGGGGGGAAAGGGGGAGACTGAGAAAGATGGGATAAATAATGTATACTATATTGAAAAAGATGAAGGAGAAAACGGTTTAAAAGGGATATGTGACCAGGTATTATTGTCATGACAGAAGCCCAGAATGAAAGCTGCATAGTGGAGTGGACCTGGGGGGAGGGACTGTATAACAATGAAAGAATTTTACTTTTAAAGAGAAGAGCAAATTGGGGGGAGGGAGGGGTGGGCAGGGAGAAAAGTGCAACAATGAATGAATGGAAATCCTCAGTCTCTGTAAACTTTTATTCATTTTATTTTTGCTAAATTCAATAAGCAAAGCACTGATAGTCATTTAATAATTACCCTAAATGTTCTAGAGAGCCTTTCAAATTATAATAAAAATATTTAAATGCAAGTTAGGAGCCCACTGCTACAACTCTCACTGAAAAGGCACTATCATTGAAGACCAATTTTCCCTGAAGTATCTGCTGAGTTAATATGAAACAAGTAATTTAATGAAGGACCCATGAATAAGTGCTGTATAGCATAACATTTATCCAGATGAATTTTCAGAATTCCAGTAAGTTTTATAAAAGATGTTATCTTAGCTTCATTGGACCAAAAATACTACAAACAGATAGTTTTTGTGAACAGACATTTATTTTCTCACAGATTAATAAGACTAGAAATCTGACTTCAAATTTCTCAGGAGAAGGCTTATTCTTGCTCTCATTCTTCCTTGCTTCTGAGGAAAATTCTTGTCTCAGCTTCTCAAGACCCATGTGTCCTATTCTCTGGTAAACTCATCAAGGCATCTCTTTCCCTAATTAATGCTTGCTAGCTCCTGTTCCTAAATGCTCTTTCTTCCTAGTTCAAAAGTTATTAGGTTTCAGGAACACTCTATACTGATACAGCCTGAATAACAAACTCCTGGTTCCTGATGGAATTACATCTATAGATCTAAAGGTTAGAATTTGAACACATATTTTAGATGGTCACAATTCAATCAATAACAGATGGGTTTATGAAAATAACAGACAGAAGATTTCTATATAAGGCAAAAATAAACTAATGTTAACTATGTCACAAATATAGGAAACATTTAAAACAATAAATTGAGACATTTTATTAGAGAAGAAACTTTGCTGTGGACAAGAAATCTTCCTACCAAGTATGCTGTTCTTGTTGTTGTGTGCCATCGTCAAGTTGCTTGTGACTCACAGTGACCCTATGTACAATAGCCCTAAACTTTACACTGTCCTGTGCCAATCACACCATCTGCGATACACCCATCCCGATTAACCCAGTCACTGAATCAATCCTTCTCATAGAGGGCCTTCCCCTCCTGCGCTGTTCCTCCACCATCCCAAGCATGATGTCCCTCTCCAAAGACCAGTCCCAAAGTATGTCAGAGTAATGCCAGAATCCTTGCCTTCAAGGAGCAGCCTAGTTTAACCCTCTCCAGGATACTTTATTCTAAATTGTCCCCTGGAATTCTACAGAGAATTTCTGTTCTTAGTCCTTTTAATATCTAATAATACAAAAGCAAAAACGTGGAAATACATCAGGTCTCGCCTTTTGTGGTATTGGAAAAGAGTACCAGACATCCCACAGACTGCCAAGAGAGTAAACAGATAATGTCTTGGAGAGAGTACAACCATGGCGCTCCTAGGCGGCAAAGATGGCAGGACTGCATCCCACATATTTTGGACATGTTGTTGTGTGTCGCTGCATCGGAACTGACCTGCAGCTGATCCAACAGCAGATTTTTCCAAAGGCAAGAAATCGCTCAGGAAGAGATAGCTCATCCTTCTCCCAGAGTGGCTAGTGGAATTAGGCATGTTATTAGAGGAGGTTATTCCTTGGAAAAAGACATCGTGGTTGGAAAGGTGGAGGGTCAGCAAAAGAGAGAAAGTACTTCATGAGATGGACTGATCAGCAGTGGGATCAAGTGTGTCTGGGATCATAAGACAGGACAGGGTTAAGATACGTTGTTCACAGGACTGTCATATATCACCTAACAGCAACTCTTTCTTCTTCAGAAAGCATCCAAGTCTTTTTTACTTTCTGTAAATAAGGTTGTGTCACATGCGTATTTCAAGTTGTTAGTAAGTCTTCCTCCAATTTTAATGCCACATTCTACTTCATGTAGTCCCGTTTCTTGAATTAAACAGCATATAGGATGAATAGGTAGGAGGAAGGACATAATCCTAGAAAACACCTTTCCTGACTTTAAACCATGCAGTGTTCCTTTCCGTTCAGTTAACTGCTTCTTGGTCTATGTATAGGTTTTGCATGAACACAACAAGTAAGTGTGCGAGGATTTCCATTCTTCTCAGTGTTAGCCATAATCTGTTAGTATCCACACAGTCAAATATCTTTGTACAGTCAATGAAACACAATCGTCTTTCTAGTATGCTCTGCTTTCAGCCAAGACTAATTTGACAATAACCTCTTCTGAATTCAGCTTGGATTTCTTGCAGTTCCCTGTCAGTGTACTGTACCAGCCATTTTTATTTTTTAAATAATCTTCAGAAAAATTATACCTGCATGTGACAGTATATTATTCAATAATTTCCGCATACTGTTGGACTATCTTATTTTGAAATAGGAACAAAAATGGATCTCTTCCAGAAGCTGTCTTCCAAATTTGTTAGCATAAACAAGTGAGTCCCTCCAGGCCTACATGTTTTTCTTGAAACACCTCAATTGGTATTCAATAAAACTCTGGAAACTTCTATTTTTTGGCCAGTGCCTTAAATGCAATATGGACTTTTTCTTTTAGTACCTTTAGTTCTTGATCACATGCTACCTCCTGATTAGTTCAGTATCAACCAATTCTTTAGCTTCAGTGATTCTGTGTAGTCTTATCATCGTAATACTTCCTGTACCATTCAATATTTTGCCAATAGAAGTTTTCAATATTGAAATCTGAGGCTTGAATTTTTTTAGTTCTTTCAGCCTGAAAATTGCAGGGTATATTCTTACCTTTTAGTTTCTAACTGCATATTTTATTATAAAACTTTGCTTTGTCTTCTCTAGGTGCCCTTTGAAATCTTCTGTTTTAGTTCTCTTACTTAATGAAGATGATCACAGACCACAGCCTTCAATATGAGTTATCTTAGTGTCAAGAAAACAAAATCCTCACCAATAGACCAAAAGGCAACATTATCATATAGAAAAGATGGAAGTTGTCAACAATTTCATTTAAGTTGGGTGCACAATTAACACCCATGATAGCAGCAATCAATAAACAAACAAACAAAAATGTGTTGTACTGGGAAAACCTACTGTCAAAGATCTCTCTGAAGTCCTAAAAACGAAGAAAGTCTGTTTAAAAAATAAGGTGTGCCTGATGCACGTCATGGTAGTTGCTCCCTGTGCATGTGAAATTGGACAATGAATAACAAAGACCAAAAAACAATCAATGCCTTTGAATTATGGTGCTAGAGAAAATTATTGAATATTTCCTGGATTGCCAGAAGAACATACAAATCTTTCTTAGAGGAAGTGCAATTCGAATACTCCTTAGAGGCAAAAATGGTGAAATTTAATTTCACTAATTTTGGGCATGTTGTCAGGAAGAGCCAGTCCTTGGAAAAATGACATCATGCTGGGAAAGGTAAAGGGTCAGCAAAACAAATATGTCCTTCAGTGACACTGCAATATCCAATGACCTAGAGCAGGATAGAGATTTTGACAACTGTGGAGATGAGGGTAAGGTTCTGATGTTTTGTTCATAAGGTTGTTATGAGCAGTAGTCAACTTAACATCATCTAACAACAATTTAATCTCTCAAACACATATGCTGCTTCTGTTGTTATACACACTTGCGCTCAAATCAACCCATGGCTGACCCTCCAGGGAGTTTTCAGAGACAGGAAATCATATGGGAAGAGACTGACCATCTTTCTCCTGAAACCATAAGACACAAAAATCCCCAATGATTTCAACACACAGGCACCCCTATCATACAGAGCAGAACTGTT